AAATAGGAAACTGCTCTCTGTTGTTGGTACACATGTGGTATACATGTGTGATTTTATTCAAAAATTACCTGTATGTATAGTATAAATTAAGTAAATATTAACTGAACAAGAATGCATTCTTTTCTGATACATAATCCTTTGTCTCAAAATAAAACAGAAAAAAGTAGCTTAACCTAATCCTAAACCTTGATCAAAGTAGAATGGTTTAATTACTCATTTCAGAATTTTTTGTTGCATATAAATGAGTCACACTTATTTTACAACTAAAAAGCGTGACATTTTAACTATTATTTAGTCGTTTGATAGGAAATATTTAATGCTAAATAATTGAAAACTTGCCATTTTTTGTCATTTAAGTTATTAAAATCAAAATGGCTGTCATTTTGAAATTCCAAATTGTACCAACTTACTTTTAGCAAATTTCCCATATAGGGAATAAGCTATTACCGTAGGTCTCATGGTACGACCTAGACCCGGGACCAGGGACATATTTCTGAATAGGCGGACTAGGCGCTCGCCTAGGGCAGCAAATTTTTGAGGCGGCAAAATTTTGGAAGATAAATGATAAAAAATGAGGTTTTAATCTAAAAAAAAAATACTAAATGTTGACAAATTAATTTTGTGAACTGGAAAAATGCTATTTTAAATCATGATTTGATAAAATGATTGAGTATAAAATGATTTAAGTACACATTAAAGTCAAAGTAAATAATTTATTATATGGCTGTGCCGAGTTTTCCGTGCTGCCCTGTCGGCCTGGCGGACACGTCGTGGCTCGCGGGCGTGGGCTGCCGGCCGCTGGATACAGGTAGTGTAGGCCTACCGCCCCCTGATATCGTTCGTTACAGGTAGTGTAGGCCTACCTCCCCCTGATATCGTTCGTTACTACGCAGCAACAGCGCGTATGACATTGAAATCTGTAATACGGACATAAACTAAGAGAAGCTGGTGATCGATCACATCACTTATCAGATGTTGAAGATAGCTTCTTTGAGGAGCTTATAGGCCTGCAGCATAAATCCTTTATTGAAAGTGTCAATGCAAGACTTGAAAAATAAAGAAAACCCCAGGTAAGGTGAGAACAAAAATGATATTAAACTTGAATTTGAAGCTAAAGGTCCAAGTAAAAAACCTAACAAAATCCCTCCCGATCTTCTGAAGTTAAAATTGACTTAGTTAATCCTCGGGGAGGCGCTTCACCACTAAAACAGGAGAGGGCGCATGCAGAGTTTTATTCCGCAACACTAAATAGCATAAATTTTACCCATTTTACTTGTTATAACGAAATATTATATGTAAATGTTGAATAATCTAATCAGAAACCTAATTTCTTTGTTAATAACATTATTTGTTAAACTTTATATGATTAATATTTCAAATAATCATATTGAACAATTTTCTAGTATAAAGGTATGTTACGAGAGAGGGAGCATGCGGAGTTATGTTCTGCAATAATGCAATTATACATATATACATACAAACAAAATATATTTGATAATAATTATAAATGAAATAATAGATTTAAACATGTTTATAATTTTGTATGCATAAAATATACACGCAGCTTGACAATAGCGTATGAGGAAATAAACTCTGTGCTAAGGACTTACGCGATAGGGCGCACGCGGAGTAAACCTCCGCAAACTGACACCGCGTCACTGAATTGCAACTGACAACAAATGAGGAGGAATTTGGGGGTAAAAATAGCTTAGGGGCATTCCCAGGATGAGGTGCGTGAAGTGTAGAGCCGGACACGACTGCTGACACCCATTATGCATATTTATATTAACAAACACTACAAGTGCGGAGGAAAACTCCGCAAGCGCCCGCTCGAGGGTTAACTAGCAGTCTTGAATATTGAAGAACTAACTGCTGAACTCTCTGGACTTAACTTGGACTAAAATTGATTTATTTTCTAGGTTTCAATTAAGGAGAAAAGTTCAAACTAACTTCTAACATAACTCATTCAAAATTGTATGTTGTTCTTTAAAGTAGGATTTGTCATGGATATATACTTATACCGGTAATGCTTTTCATTGAACACTTTTAGTCAGATCCACTTACTTTTTTATACTAACCTTTTTTTGTTTTGATTCATTTAGTTTTAAAATATAACAGTTATGTAAATAACAGTATTTGTGATTGTATATCTGACTAAAAGTATTCAATGAAAAGCGTTATAAGAACCCTTGTATACGGACGTTTTTGTGTGCCGTTTACGTGTCGCAAAACGTGAGTTTACGCGTCGTAAAACGTGATTATGACTCTTCTGATTGGATACAACAACATTGTATTCCATGTATGCAAAACAGAACCACGTTTTGAATGAAAATGGGGAAACAAAATTGTCTGTAAAAGAGAGCTCAAAATGTTATTAGATTTGTTGATGCAGCATGCAATTGCCGATTACTTTTCTACAAAAAACAGCTGGAAGGGCATGTTTTGAGGTAATCTTATTGTGGTCGGTTAGCGTGCTGACGAGAGTGAGGGGAGGGAGCGGCTAAATTTACTGCTTAGAGGCGGCAGATAGTTAAATACGTCCCTGCCCAGGACTGATTTACTTTGTTGTTTTGAAGTCCCCAGAGGCGAAAAAACCCCTCCGTTCAAATTCATATACATATGTGTCCGTTAGCACGATAACTTGAGCAATAATGATGATTTGATTAAATTTGGTACAAACGTGTAAACCTACGTTTATTCAAACGAGTAGGCAAACCAGCATGATCGGAAACGGGGGTTTACGTGGTGTTTTATGGGGTAAAAATAGTTTTTTCCCATTTTGACTTTAAAAACATAAAATTTCACAATTCATTTCCAAACTATTTTGTAGAGCTTAAAAAAAAATAATTTTGTATTCTGAAGCGTTGTTGTATGTCTAACGGTTATATATAAAAATGTATTTATTTATTTATTTATTTAGATGACAATATTACATTACAGTTATAGAGCCCAATTACAATGCAGCATTAAAGTTTAAGTCCATTTAGAAATTCCATGCAGTCTTCTTGGTACATACAACATTACAATTTATAATAACATCACATACAAATTAACAAAGACAAGATAACAAAGAATAAATAATAACAAATAACATTTCATAAACAACAATAAATAGACTAAACCAAGTAATGAGAACAAAACCCTCAGAGTATGGTTTTAAAAATAAGTATAGTTTTCTGAGCAGAAGCAACCTGTTGGGCCATGTGTTGGGTATACCAACACTAATCCGCAGGCCAGTCCGCCAAGTTCACCCCACAAGCGCGCACCAAATGCGCCGACCGACCAACACCGCACAGTGCCGTATAAAAAACACTGTACAATCATTCATTCAGCCAACACCTGCGGAATAAACTCAAAGAGAAGCCAAACAAATCAATATCAACACACTGAAAAAGAGTTATACAGTTTTGTCATTAATCATTAGTTACAAAAGCGCATCTTAATACTTTCTGATTTCCAATTTTGATGACATTTTGTATAAACATGTAAAATTACGTTTATTCAAAAAAGTTCACAAACTAGTATGATCCAACTGTTGGAACAGGGGTTTTTTGTGGGATTTATGGCGTAAAAATAGGATTTTGGCATTTCTCACACTCAAAAGACTTTACCAATTCTTTGCATTCCATTTTGTAGAGCTTAAAAAATTAAAAAGCTTAAAAACTGCAAATTAAAAATTCCCATGTTACTCTTAAACTGTTGAGTAGGTAAACTCAAGCAGTTTGCTTATTCATGAATATCTTCTGACCAAATTTGGCAAAATTATTTATTTCATCCTAAGCAAATAATATTTCACTAAAACACTCCTTATTACCTTCCCTGTAGCTGTAAGTAAACCTGGTACTCATTTAACCTAATCTTATTTAAATAGGAAATGAATCTGACATATTTAAAGAATTATTTAAGTTTGTATATACATAGTTGAACTGACCGGAGCTTACTTTCCAAATGGTCTTATTAAAACATCACTTAAAACATTGCTATACAATCACTTAATAAGTGATGATTACGTTACTCTCAAAAAATATTTATCTGTCACTGTCAGTTAAGGGCCAATCATTCGGAAACTCTTAGTTACGGCTCTCATGATGTCATATATTTCCTGATTGGCTCTTTTCGCTGGCCAGTTTACTCTTTGATAAAACCGACCACTTTAACATTTGCTTATTTTTTTATCGTTTTTACAAACCCATAAACCTAAGAAGTTTTTTTTACATTAAAAAGTGGACCACCGGGGTACAGCTATGGTAGCTTGGCACAAGAGGCACTGGTAGACTAGGGAACTTACCTACTTTTTAGTGATCTAAAGAGTATACACAACCATAAGAGAAGGGTTTTAACCCCATTGTACTAATTGTGGTAAACGGAAGTACACAAGAGCAGCAAGACTGCCAAGAGTATTTACTATTGGGTGATTTACTTTGTGTCCCCATACACAAATGAAACTAATCAAGCGACTTACTTGAGAAACTTTATACAATGTACAAAGTATACTTTCAACAGTATTTCCTAATTAAGAATGTTTCAAAAGTGACAAATACTTTATACATGAAGTTGTAAGATCTTTAAATACACTTTTGAAAAAATGTGTACCCAACCTTCCTGTAAGTTAAACTCTATACACAAGAAAACCCAAACAAAATAAACAAGTGATCATGCACAAACTAAATATTCTATGGATACGATAGAAGACAAATGCAAGTAAGAATAACAACAAACCTCAAACTGGAGCTAAGGTTTTGCTTATGACTGAACCATTGAACCAATTAATTTTATCTTACAGCAACTCGTAGGCCTACATTTTATGTAACAGACGTTTTGGACTCGTTGTGTTATGTACTTATCATAATGGTATATTGAGTTGGTGTGTTCAGGTCTCTTTATTTCAACCTGTTTATGACTTGTATGTAGATGACATCTCTTTTCTATATCTGTGATCAATCACACAAACTCATGTTTGAGTAAATAAATATGGTCTTGATGTAAATAAAAACAAATACTTGATAAAACTGTTTAAAAAAGGTATTTATTTGCTATGATGTTACAATTATGTACAAAATCTTTTATATTATAAGGTCGAATTGTGACAGGATTTAATAAGAAACTAATTTGTTTGGGTATTTCAAGTTCTAACATGGCGTAGGTGCAATACATAAAACAAACACATAAATTGACTAAATATATTGACTTTATTAAAAAACAACCTAGGATTTTAGACTGTATTAAGTCATTTCATTTTTTCATTGTTTCTAATTTTATTTACATCCTTCAATTGGAAAACTAAGTGTTTTAGTATTGCTTAAAAGTTGAGGGCTGTTAAGAGTGAATATTTTTATTTTAAGCAGACGAGTTAAATGAAATACAACAAAAGACTATTTGTACATAAAGGAAAATATAATTTTTTCATAATATATATTGAGGAAACATTCCAGTTTCACAATGTGTAAAATTCACATTGTATATTGGATGGGTCGCAATTCAACTAACACTATCAATTAATTAATTATCACAGTTGCATACCAAAATGTTCAAAAGATCAGGATTTTTTAGGAGATCACAAATTATTCGATTGAAAGCCTCAAGGATTTGGATTGAGCTATCAACACCAGAACCAGAGTCCTGCTCATGGATCTAGAGTTAATTGGGGTGGGCGAGTGAGTCGGTCAAAAGTCCTGACCAGGTGCTTTCAGCTAAGGGTAAGTGTTGGAAAACAATGTGATGGTTAGTGTTCTACAAGTAAATACACGATGTGCAAGGAGTAAGTAGGCCTGCTTTATTGTGTAGTGATAACAATCCGGTAACAAGAAAGCTGACAGCTAAGGACCAAGGACTCTGACACAGAGTGAATAGTTTAAAAACTTAAAAGAAATTCTGACACAATAATGACTATTCTTCTGCATTGTTTAGAACCAGTATACTATCTAAGCAGCCTAAGGCAACTTTGACAAAAAGTAAAATATGGAAAGAAAGTTTAGTTCAGTTATAATAAAAACAACATTAACATATACTTCAGCCAACTGTAAATGAAATAATATTTAAAAAAGCTATGGTACATAATGAGGACGTAGACAAAAATTAAGTGGCAAGCTGTAACAGTACTTACAAGACTAAGAACTGGTACCAGAATCAGTAACAGTTCCTGAATTAACTAGAATTTATGAGTAGTCATTATTATGTAGGTACCCAGGCTACTGACCCTGGGAGTTATTCATAATTTTACTAGGCAATTCTCAGTTGTTACTTAAATAAATAGTTCTTAATAGGATTATTATGTGTCATATGTACTATTGAATGTGAATTATTATGTGTATTTATTATGTAATATTTTCTGATAAAAGTTTATTTATTAACTTAACTTAAAGCTTAACTAAATTTAACTATAATAAGTGGTAGGCCTACTGAATTTTAAATCCAACTCAATTGCAGGAATAATCCTAATCAAAAAGTCATAGCACAGAAACTGTTGACCAGGTATAATAAGCTCTACTGTGAACTTAAATTCAAAGAAAAAAAGAATTTACAATGTGGAAACGGTAACCTAAGCATTTTTATGCTTAAGAATTCACATTCGTTTTCCCTACTGGCATACATATAATTACATGTACCATTTCTAGTGACTCGAATTCAATTGTATTAAACTTAAATCAATTTAAGCACATTATGTACTAGTAGAGCAAGTGCTAAGAACAGCAAATGAGGTACTAAATACCGTAGCATCAGTACAGTATTTTGCAGCAGGCGGGAAAAGGCATGTGCCTTTTGTGCATATAAGGTACGAAATTTGAATATTTAGTTAGAAACCTATAGCATTAATAATACCAATTTTACAAATTTTTAACGTATAAGGGTTATGTTCTCAGTAACGTTACTTACATTGCACTACCGTACTGTGTTTTTTTATAAGTATAAACTATTGTTTGTAATTTTAATTTTAGAGTACAAAGTTTGACTAACTAATATCACTTATATATCAAATATCATGACCCCTATTCTATAAATAATATGTTTGGTTTGATTTTCTGTAACAACTACTGTATTAGCAGAACTTGATCACAACCACAACTTTAGTTTTTTATAAGACTATAACATGAAAACTGAAAACAACACATGTTAAAATGCAAGGCATCATTTAAAAAATTCGGTTTTTAGATAAATAGTTGTTAAAGATAAACAGTTTAAAAGGCTAAGTGAAATTACACAGCTATGAGCTGAAAGAATACACCCAGAATAAATATCCGTTTTTAAAAGAACAAATATATTTATAAAAGAATAAATATCCATTTTTAAGGAATAAATTTCCATTATTATAATATTAAAACTATCTCTTTACACTTTAAAATCACACAAGAGAATAAAATCACACAGTTAACACTCTAGAGGTTGCACATATTAAAATGTTGGTTATTCATGTTGGGACGATGTTAAACAGTTTAATGACCCAATCACTTGTCTTTGTGTCAAGTAATAAAAAAACCTATTACTGTAATAGAAAGTTATTTTTGTAATAAAAATAGTTTTGCGATAAAAAGCATCATTTGTAACAAGTGACACCAACTGTTGACTGTTGCACAACCTCCAAAATGTTAAGTTAAAACAATTGACATATAACAAATACACGCTCCGGCGTACAATAAATTTGTATGTTTTAAACATTTGCAGGAAGATACCATAAGCACCTACGCCAGTACAAGGGATTGCATTAGTTGTTTGACTGTGAATAGTTGGGCCGTCCTGCCAGTTCTAGGAGGTAACGGTCTGGATGGTCTGACCACTCATTGGCTGACAGCTTCACCACACGCTGTCTCTCCGCTTGCTTCACCTCCCACTTCTTTATGTCCAATTGCATCTCCCTTGAAATATAAAAAAGTTGTCATATCGATCAAATTAAATCATCCATATTTTTATTCAAAGTTCATCGGAGGAGCGAGCTGGTGTAGTGTTTAGAGCACCGAACTTTGGTTCCTGAGGTCTCGGGTTCAAATCCCGCCAAATCACCAATGGATTTTATATAAGTGATAATGCCGCAACCCCTAGGTCTAGCCTGAAGTAATATGAAAAACAATCCCGGGATCATGCCTAGCGTCCTAAGACAAAAAAATTCAAAGTTCATTGTGGAGTGGCAAAGCGTTAGCTGATACATAGTGGGCCACTGCAAGGCGATATACAGAGGTTTTTCTTATGTTATATTATTAATTTAATCCTTGATCTTAACTCCGTGTGGCCGTTATAGAACTACAGAGAAAGAAAGAAAAGAAAGAGTTTTATTTCTCCATAACATACATAGAGAATAGTCATACATTGATGATGAGTAAGTACAATAAAAAGGTTTAACTCCTAATCACTAATCAGAGAGTTTGATTGGCTTCGGTAGCATCCCGAAAGTGATTAGATATTTAAATAAGTTCTGAACATGAATTTGGAGGATAAATTTGACAGATTGGATGATGATATATTTTTTTCAGTCTATTTATCAAAATATTGGTGTATGCTTAAGCACCCTTTGGATTGGCCTTTGGTTTTATAAAGGCAAACTAAAATATCAATTCATATTGTAAAACTGTAAATAATGTCACTGGAAAAATTCTGTAAAAAAGCTTAACAAAACAAATATGCTGTTTACAATAAGCCATAGTCTCAGTTCCCACTGGTGAAATCTCCTCCTCATACGAATCCTTCCTCTTATTTTCTTACTTTAATTTTGTGACTGTAAAAAACTTAAAACCAATTTACAGCGGGGGAATCTATTTCAAATGCAATGCACATGTAAAATTGTTTGCATATGAAATTGACGGACATACTTAACTTAAGACAACAATTTAGTTCATAGAAAATATAAATAAATACCTTGATTGGGGAGTGCCACACCCCCAAACCTCGATGCTCTGCAACTGATACGGAATGCCTTTGTATGTGACGTAGGTGAAAGATTCATTTATGTCTATGCTCGGTTTCCGAGGGTCCAGCCCTGCACGGATTCCTTTGGGATAACCTCTAATTTTTGTATTTAAATATAATAACTTAGGACCACCTGAAAAAAAATGTAAAAAATTAAAACCAATAGCTTGGCACTTAAATCAAATATAGCCCCTTATAACTAAATGCTAGCTTTAAAATTTAACTTTGACACAACCAACAAAAATAAAGATCATTTATATACTACACCAAAATAACTTAAGGGAAAAAAACCATAACTTAATAGGTATTTAAAATTATAACTATAATGTTAAAATTACAGTAGATAGCAATAATTTATAATGAAATCAGAGAATTATGGTAGAGTTTTGATTATGAAAATCTATAGTATAACTGAATATTTAGAAAATTGTTTTCGTAAAGGAAAACATTTTACTATGGATTCTACTATTGACATTATGATTATTTATGGTTACAATTTACAATATAAACAGAGTGAACACTAATTTTCTAAAGAGAAGAACAGAGTGTGTGGTCAGAGTGGTTTATGGTAAATCATAGTTTGATACTTTGTTGTTAATGTCAAGATGTATTGATGCCTTAAATTTATATAAATTAAACCTTTATAATTTGAATGAATTATATTTATTTTCTTTACAATTCAATTTATAACCTATTTTCGCTGTAATTTTGATGTTTAAATTAAGCCAAACTTGGTAGTATTGTGATCATCTCCCGCAGTCGTGTAGACATTATTATTATCTTCTGCAATCGCGGCAAAATTTAAATCACACCCGCAGTCATTGTCTTGCACAATTGCGGTATTAGTGGTAATTTTTCGATTGAGAGGAGATCTTCACAGACGGCTCGGGAATCAAATTTTGACGATCGATTCTCAATACCGATATCAATGTCAGTCACCGATATCAGTGTAGGTTAGGTTCCAGCTGGTAGTATCAGTGGTATCACATCCCTAATTAATACTAAGGTTATTTAGCAAAAGTTTTCAGTAGGATGAACATTTCAAAATTAGTTATCAATTGGCTATCAAGACATAAATAAAAAAAACACACATTCAGTAAATGTATGTTTTATTTATGAATAAAGTACATTTACAATGCACATCTCAAGACAGACATAAGAGTAGTCTACAGTGTTGCCACACAGCTCCGGAAGAAATCCCTCCTCACAAGCATGAAAATCCCACTTTTCCCTCACTAATCCGTGCACAATACGTTTAAAATAATTCCACAATCCGTGTACTCTGTAAATTAACCTAAGTCTAATAATATAATGCTAGAAGCCTAGAAAACAAGTTTTCCATTAATTTTTTCACCTATAACAAAATGTAGCACTCAAAATATGTAGCAGGATGTTTACACTAGATGCGTGATTTCAGTATTATTAGCATAACTGAATATATACAAGAAAATATTCAGTGAAAAATATTATGCTACTATTACAAAGTTTTAAAAATTAAATACAGTATTAAACTTAACATATTGTCCAGAACAAATTTTACCTATAGCAGTTTAAACAAGTTTTAGAATCAATAAAATGCAAAATATCTTTAATTAAAGGCTATGTTATTTTGGTTAGTTTGTTTTGTTTCTGTCTGGTTTTTAGTTGGATTAGCAGTGTTGCCACTAACCAACGCCTAGAGGAAAATCCACTGGCAAATCACTAGAACGGCTAGTAAAATATCCCTAGAAAACAATTAAATGTCTAGAAGTGACAAACTGATCGTAGGCGTAGAAGTAAAGGGAGTGAAGAGTACAATAAATGTAGGTAATCAAAAAAACATCATCGATCTTTAATGAATGTACTATGTAATCATTGGTTCCTAAAGTGCTTCTCTTGACTCACAAAGTACAAAGTGTCCCGATTTACCTTTGAAATCCCCAAATATTTTTAAAAACTACAATTGGGTTAAATCCGCTCACAACCCTAATGCGCACAAAAATCTGCGCAGCCCCCCAAAATCCGTGCAAAAAGCGTAATTACCCGCAAAACTGTATCACTGGTTGTCTAAAGCGTTGCAAAAATACACTTCTAAACAAGCTATTAATTAATTTAGTTAGCCTATTTATTCTAGGCTCTTTTACCTAGGTTAAAGGTTAGCCAGTTATGAGTTAACTTAGGTTGTAACCATAATAGGTTATGAAGGCCTGTAAAATATAATTGGTGAAGTGTAGAATGAGAGTCAACTAGTGTTTAATTCAGGTTACCTCCTTGGAAGTATGTAAAAATGTTTATTACACTTATGTGTGTATTCTATTTCAAGCTATATTATTACATTATGGGGGACAGCCACAGACGTCAACAAAGCCAACTTTCCAAACGTAATGTGATCTTGAAGTGATCAGTGTGTATAGAATAGAAAAGGGAAATTAAAACCCCTACAAGTGATCATAGAGGCCAGTGGCAGAACTATTGAACATTAAGTATTGACATTTTAGCATAAAAAATAGTTGTTAGCTGTAATGGCGCCACAACACTTCTTGTAACCGGAAACTTCAACACCAACTGACATTCATTTGAACCGGGTAGTTTTTCCTGCTTTACTATTGATTCATGCTTGACTTATCATCAGGCAATGGAACAACCGGTAAACTACTAAATAAGAACTCATTATCAAACATACGCCTTCCTCTTAGACTTAACAAATATTTTAGGCTGGCAAACGTAGAACTTGATAAAGAAAATAATAAGTATAAGGTTAAAATGTAGTGTTTGGTGTTACTTTTATTGTTGATACTTAGCTCAACTGCACCCTTTACATATATCTATTACATCAATGGTGTAATAAATAACACCTTGTATCCATTTCATTGTACTTTATACTTCCTTATTAAATGGCAACCATACAAAGTAGGTATTTTAAGCCAAGTATGAATGGAGATGAGTGTAGGATGAGTGGTGTGATCTTGTAGTCTAGTTAGTGACTAAGGCCGACATTACTTAGACACAGCTGTTAATTAATAGCCCATACAGCTAATGGCAACTAAGTAATTGTATTGCAGTACCAAACGTTATGTAGTAGCCTACATTGATTGTTTATTACTAAAATATTTGTTTGTTGATTCGATTGTCTTTCTCCGCTTTAATAATGTTTTTTAATTAACAAAGACAATTCATCATTGTTACGTCGTTGGAAACGTTATGTATGAATTACGATCTACACACTAACGAATTAGGAACACTAATGATGGTTTCAGGGTGTCCAGGCCAACCAGAAAAAATTTATGAGTAATTCATTAGTAAAAAAAAATCCAGGTCATACTTTTTATACTAAAATTTCTAACGTGTTTTGTGCCAACTCCCACAATGCTGGTTTAGCGATAACACAGCTCGCTATTTTAGTTATCGGAAAGAGTATTCTCAGTTAAAGAAACAAAATTTATGGTTGATTAAATAATCCGAAAATTAAAAACTAATCCTTAAACCTGCAATTTATTAATAACTTCTTAAAAATAGTGATATGTCGATACCAAAATTTATCAAATCTCTATTCAGACACCTGAAAAATAGATTCTTAATACACGACACGACTCACCCGTGAGGAGGTTAGAAAAACTAGCATCGGCTACCTCGGGCAGGAATCATCATGCTTGTACAGTCAATACCTACTGTCCAGGCTTGAGGCGTAATATACTATTTCCTTTACTTACGCTGAACAACATGGTAGAGTGGTAGTATCTGTACTATGATGCTGTCTTCCCCTCCCCAGTAGAGGTGGGATTCTTGCCACTCATGCGTAGCTCCGATACAGAACTCTATGTCCTGCTCCCCACGCAGGAAAGTCAGAGTGGCCCCGCGGTAACTCAAAACGTGATGCAGAAATCTGAAAGAATTACAAATCAAGTTATTTACTGGCACAATACTGCTTGATCCAGTTAATAACATGTTTGTGTTCTACTGTTTGGTTTTGAAACAGCTGCTGGTCACCTCAACAATGGCTGATTGGTGTGGCCACACAGTGCTAAAAAGATCATTTTTAGTAATGCAAAGCATGAATTGAAATCAAATCAAATATCATTTTTTCCATAAGGTACAATTAAGTACAATAAAGTAATAAAATACAAGTTAAAACACCTATTGATACTTGTAATTTATAGCATGAATAAGTACTATATTAGGGCAAAATATTATTGATATGTTTTGTGACTTTGACTTTGCTTGTAAATCTATCAGCTCCTGGATTTTAATTTTCTCAGTTAAAGCAGCTGAACTCTACCTTTTTTCAAACAAAAGTAATTTAACACGCATGAGAATAGTGTGAGATGAATATATATATACTCTATGTATAACATGTTAAGGGAAAGATTGTAAAAATGAGTTGGCTCCCAGGTCCCTACACAAGGAGTCTTAAGACATTTTTATTTCATTCATTTCGGGTACAAGATTTTATTGTTCTCCAGGTTTTATTTAAACGGAGTTTGGTTAGCGTAACTGAGAAAATAGAGTACAGGTGCTAATAGATACACAAAAAATTCATCAAACAAAACATGACTTCTGTATTGCTCTTTAGTAGTCTAATTATTAGTCTAAATAATTGTTGTGTGGCATACAATAGTTTAACAACCTTGTATTGTGTTTTTATGTTTTACTTAAATTAAGGTTTTATTTGTTAAGGATTGTCAAAATAGTACCTGTTTGCTCCAAGCCCATGTTGGTTGCTATTGTAGAGCATAGTCCAATGAGATGGACAAGATAGATCTAACTGTAAAATCATAAAAACAATATAATACTTGACTAATCATTAAAGAATATATTTAGTCCACACTGGTTGCTTATTGTAGAGCATAGTCAACTAGGATGGACAACATACACTTAACTGTAACACCAGGGAAACAATATAATACTTGTCTAATCATAGAATATATTTATTTATATTAGACCTAAGACGCCATTTTCGTACTTGTAAAACGATTTGATCAAGTCTTTAATCATCAGTAATAATTACAACAATAACAAAAATAAAATAAAATACAATACAAATACAGGGTTGGTACTGATTTTGGAAAATGAAATTCCCTGACTTTTCCAGGTTTTCCAGACTGATATTATACTTTTTCCAGGTATACCGTAAGACGATATCGAATAGTCAGAATCAAGCATTATTAGAAAAAATGTAGGCCTAAATAGTTTACTCATAAAACCAATAAGTAAAGAATTAAACATCTGGAATCTGGAAAATTAAGAGTACCAACTAACTTAACCTCACACTTTATGTTCTACTTGGCCTTGACTTGACACTAGCAGATAGACGATACAGTGCTTCTGATACTGATATATATCGATATTTTGCTTGCGATATCATCGGCTTATATCGGAAGAAACATGTGATATTGGAAAAATAACTACCATGCTTGTACCGGAGACAAAAATTAGTACCAAACTAAACTATTAAATGTTTCAACAAACAGAATAAAATTTTTTTATAAACTCCTACAAGTGCAGTTTTTTTTAGTTTATTAAAGGTTGAATCAGTATTGGTATAAATTCAACGAGGAATTGTATTCAGTATCGTATTGAAATTGAAACGATGAATGTAGGCCTATCCTTCCGCGCATCGCGGTACTAGCCGTGTTTCCATACGTGGGATTATTATCCCGAAAACAGGATTTTTAGAGCATGGGCGGGATTTGAAGGGGATGTGGGATAAAACAGGAGTTTTGGCTATGACATCCGTTTTTATTTACTATGCTTTATTTTAGTGAAAAACTAACCCCAATCAAAAAAATTACCTTAACAAAATATAATAGCAATGTTAAAACAACTATTTAAACACAATATTTATAATTTAACACTCAGCATTTAACATAAAAAATCTTAAGGGATTAAACGGGATTTCTTAACCCAGTGACCGGTATTATATTCTTTTGGTCGTGTAGAAACACTGGGAGCTCGGTGCGTTCAAATAAAACCAGTGATCAGAGGGTGATGATAGAATGTCTGTCGATGTTCGATGTTTTTATATCGATGTCCCGATGTTTTTGTTACATCGATGTTTTCGTCAAACTTCAATGTTTTTGACCAAGTATTGAGACGTAGATGCAAAATGTAGCATATCTGTAAAAAATGTAGTCTTTCAAGAGAAATTCCAAATTTTTTCCAAAATTCCCTGACTTTTCCCTGACTTTTCAAGACCAACAAAATTCCCTGACATTTCCAGGTTTTCCCTGACCGTACCAACCCTGAAATATTTATATATTATGCATAATTTTAAATAGGCTATCACAGGTTTATAAATAGTGATGTAAAATACCCAGGTATTTAAAACTCGGGGGGTATTTACCCGGGTAACTACCCAAAATTCATAAATACCCGGGTATTTTGGGTATTTATGAAATCAATTGAAATTCATTTATATATACCCCTAAATATGTTATTATTATCATTACATGATAAATTAGGATAGTCTATAACACCTTTTAGGCCTACAGTAGCTTGAAGCTTTGCTAGTACCTTTTATTTAATGATTTAGCACCTTTTTTTAAATGATACATACATTTTCTAAATAAGCATGGGGTTTCGTGTCTTAAATCAAGTAACATCAGTTAAAATTTAACTTACTAAAAATAGCCTATTAAAAAAGGCTGGCTATTTCAATTTTTATCATTTTATAAATTTATAACCAATTAAATAACATAAACATAATTATTTTAATTTATAAATATCCAGAAATTGTTGAAAGATTTACTGGGCCTATAGATTCAAATGTTTTGTATCCAGGGGCGGACTGGCCCGCCGGTCCACCGGCCGGTGGGCCGATACGCCTTCTCAACATTCCAATATTTGCGCCCTCGTTAAAGGAAAAATTCATAAAAAAATTTTAAAAATGAGACGAGATGTGTTTTTAGAAAGCAAGAGGAAAAACTTAGAGTAAAGGTTTCAGCAGTGAATAGCAAAACATAAAGTCGGGTGTGAGACCTGAATAGACACTGTCGACAAGCGAGAGCAAAGCAGCTCTTCTCTCTCGTACGTGTAGGCCTACTCCGAGTGGAAGGCACTTTACTGTACTCTGTGGTCTGAGGTACTTAAAAACAGCTGTCCTCTTCCCGCGTCATTTTACGCCAACCCCGAAAAAAAACTGCACTGCGACTGCATCCGACATCGGTCGGTGTCACGATGTCGTCTGTGGTAAACAACTAGTGAAGATAATTTAATACTATTCATATTTGTTATAATATTTAATAATTGCTCACACTATAACTATTTCACTTTAAGTCACATTTAATTTTTATCAATGTCAACTCAACTCTCTTGTAAAATGGCGTTTGCCGTGCATGTAATAAATAAATAAAGAGTGTCAGCTGCCAATTAAAATTTGTCTCTCTTTTGTGAGTGTCTGATTTGTGTCACTGTGTCGAAAGCTTCAATTTATTTTTATATTATTTACCTACACAGGAAACATGAACGAAAGCAGTATTGTAGAATCACTACTTTCACAAAATTTAAATTAGATTTAGTGACAGTGTATTTGTTAACTTAACCATTACACAGTAAAGGTTAAACAGTAAACATTATTTTAATACCGTATGTGGCTAACGCCTATTAATTATTTCAATATGCACTATGGCACTAATTTGGTCAACTTTCCTATTTTACTTACAGATAGCCAGCTCAAAATACCTTCGTAGTTCTCTCTAGGCTATTTCGTTTGTAGAAATAGGTTAGGTAGGCCTACTTTAGGGTTACAGTTTTGACTTAATGTAATTCTAAAAAAGTTCAAGTCAATAAATTGGTTTTTGTTCACAGTGAAAGCATATTGTTTGTGTTCAAATAATTTCATAGAAATCTAAAATATATAACTTCTGTTATTTACAGTGCCAAATTGGGATACAACAGTTGCAAGTTCAGGTTGTAAACAGGAAGCAAATGATTTATATTGTACGCATGCAGCCAAGTCATGCAAGGGAAAATAAAGAAAATACACAAATATAATAGGAAAGAACCTAAGAAAATCATTTGTGTTTTTATTTTTGTTAGGATATTTACTGTCAGAATAGCACCAAGTCGTGTGGGTAAATAGTCTAAATTTTGTAAACCAAATATTGACCAATAGTGTCAGTTATCAGATTTCTGATTTTCCACTGTTAATGCCTCTAGATTGCCTAAAAATGCGAGTTTACAGGTATAATTTTTAAAAAATTTCCATACCCCCCAGACCCCCCGGTTGGCGCCTTCGGGCTGGTCAAGGTTTACGCCCTAATAGAGTACCCAGTCCGCCCCTGTTTGTATCACAAGTTTATGAAATTAGTTTTTTTTTATTTTGATACTATTGATACCAACAAAAGATCTAGAAAAAAATATTATTAAATTCTGCCATCCTACAGATTGAGTTTTAATTATTTTCTTAAGTTGTTTACACATAGGCCACTACTAGGTTAAATTTTCCTGTCTTCCTAAATAATAATTATTACTTTAAAAATAATTTTATTAATTTTCAATAAAATAAATTGAAATTCATCTATATATCATAGAAATTAAAAAATCATAAGTAGTCAGGACCAGTGCAACCATGCGACCAGGGTATTTATGCCGATTATGCTTTATGCTTTATGGCGAGTATACACAGAAGTAAAATGCTAGTAGTGACCATATGAAATTTTGTTTAACACATTTTATCATCATTTTACTATCCTTACAGGGTAATAATTGCAAAAAAACATCTCAATCTTCTATAACTTTAATAAAAATTATAAATACCCAGTTTTTGGGTATTTACCCAGGCCTGGGGTAAATACCCGGGTAAATACCCAATTTATATTTACCTACCCACTGGGTATTTACCCGGCCCACATCACTATTTATAAATAATGCAAATTTCACAAAAACATAAAATAGCTTTTTTTATGACATGGGAAATTTGCTAAAAGGTCACCATTTACGTTGCACCAAATAAATGCAATGTGGTAACTATGCTACCATTATTATTGTATTGTTCTTAGACATTCCTGTGTAACCTGAAAATAAAACATGTAGAAGCCAAATTAAACCCACCTTATCAGTTTGACAGATATGAGGTATTGTATGTAAACTTGATATTACAGTAATATAAGTTCATAGCATGATTTGAGTCACACAATTAATCAGCAAAAACAATGTTAAAATAGGCTGTATTCTTCATAACACAAACTCACGATTCGGGCTAGGTAGTTCTTGGTGCAAAATCCGTTGTTGGATGAAATGGCGGGAGAATGGTGCTGTGGCTTGGTAAACAGAGCAGGGAGGGTGCAGGCCAAGATCCACACCTGAGAGACTGGCAGCAAGGGCTTAGGCTTGTCCCATGGAGCAGGTGCCTTCTCCAACACTGGGGTTGTCAGCTCTAGACCCTGTAATGCATATCACTGTAAGCATAACATGAGCAGGCGTAATCATTTAGCTTCCCAACATTAAATTGAATAAGAAAATCAAGCTCAATTGCACATCCAAAACATAATAGTAGCACAAATCATCAAGCTTTGCCAAATTTGGGAACTGCTACAGTCAAACTATCATATAATCACAAAACATGCTATGAGACTGTATACGTTTCTACAGGCACTTCACAGCCACTCCTAGACAAAACTGCAATAAAAGGTTTGCAGAAAATTGCTCAAATTGATGAAATACAGCCATCCTGTAATGACTGGTATAACAAGACCAAGACACCCTAAACTGTAAGAAGGCTTAGGTTACATTGATGTCAAATACAAAGTAGGATTGAAAAATAATGCCAGACCATTTGCTATCATCACGTTGGATTCCTATTTCTCTTTAGGAAGCTACTAAAGGAGAACTCGAAAGAATGGTGTCAATGGGAGTGATCACTGAGATACATCATGCCAGACTGGTGCTCTCCAAAGGTTGTTGTACCAAAAAAAGGACTCTAACAAAGGTCATTTTGGTGGATCTTACAAAATTAAACAGATGAGGCCAAACAAAGATACTATCCCATTCAACCTATCAAAAAAAAATCCAGCCAAATCTCTTATGCAAAATGCTACTCTAAATTGGATGCAAATAAATTGACTCTGGCAGATTACTTTGGATGAAGTAGACAGGATTGAACTACTGTAAGCGTACGACTTGTTTGCCAGCGGTGTGTGCGGGAGAGAGCGGTACCAATCCCCTAACGCAGCCAAAGTTTCCATGGCATTGGTCGGACAACGCTTTCTAAAAACATTCGACCAGCGCTGTTTGCGTTGTGTTCCTTTTTTGCGTGAATTTAAAATTTTTATAGAATTTAAATTTGAATTTAATTCAAGTACTATACAATGTAATAGCTAAGGGTTCTATATTATTGTTTTGGTACTGTGGTAGAGTAATTAATTTGATACAACTATGTTTTTACTTCTTAAAATGTACACCAAACAGTAAAATCATAGTATATTATAATTTTTTTGTAAAGTTTGACTTATTAGGTGTAAACAATGAACTGAGTTTATAGCTCAAATCTTAAGACATAGAATTATATGTAAAAACACATATTGATATACCTATAAACAGAAAACCATAAGGCTTAGTACATGTAACTATGGAAACTTTTTGCTTATTTTCATATCATGTACAATAAATAACACCTTAAAATATCAGACAGTTTTTCCGAACACCCTGTAAAACGGTTAATGGCTTGCAGTTATTTATTTTATATCCCTAAGTTAATAAAAGGAAAGTAGGTCTCCTAATGTTGTAAAGTATTTTATGACCGGAAGAGTATTGTATTCTATCGTGTTCTATCGACTGTCAGTTTATTGGGGTGTGTTGTGGAGTTAAGTTGTGCGGCTGAGTAATTATTGAGTGATAGTTTAGTGTTGTTCAAAGGTTTATTGCGGACATTTTCTATCACGATTGTAAAAAAACTGTGATTTTTTTTACAATTGTGATGGAAAATGTCCGCAATAAACCTTTGAACAACATTAACTCACCATCACCAACAATGAACTTCAAACAAAGAATAGTTAAGTGATTGTTAAGCCGTGGGTTATAAAAGTGTTAGGCTAACTTAAATTAATATCATGGCAACCACCCGTAAAAAAGGGCAAACCATTTACAGTGAAGCCAGTGAAATTATGAGATGTGTTATTCAACAGTGTGACTAAGAATCCAACTCTGGAACCTTCCAGTATACCCTGAAACAAAGTAATCATTGGGTTGCTAAGTATACAGGGATATCTGTCTGTAGTGTTCCGACAATTAGGAAAGAAGGGGTTGAGGCCGGAGGATCTGCCCTAGAAACACCAGGTAAGAAAAGGCCCTACTCAGAGGAGAAGAAATTCCACATTAATGAATTTGATAAAAGAGTGATAAGGGACAATATTCACGATTTTTATACAATGCAAAAAAAGTGCCGACAGCACCCAAACTGTTATATGCAATTAAGGAAAAAATTAATTTTCCTTGGGGAGTTTCCACATTACAAAAACTTCTAAAAGACATGGGGTTTAAATGGAAAACGGAAAAGGTGTGGGAAAATTAGAAAATTGTTGATAGAACGGCCGGATATTGTAAATTGGGGCGCTCACTACTTGCGAGACATTCAAAAGTGTAGATATGAAAAGTGTAAAATCATATATCTTGACGAAACATGGGTTGATAACAACTTAACATTAATTTGTAAAATGCTGGAGCAGTGACGATGTCCCCGGGGTCCTCACAAACTAGCTCGCCCAATAGATTAATTGTGGTTAGTGCCGGTTCAGAAGATGTTTTTGTGCATGATGCGACACTAATATTTCAAGATGGTAAAGCAACTGGAGATTATCATGGCCAGATGAACGGAGTAAACTTTTAAAAGTGGATCGATGAAAAACTTATACCAAACCTCCCTAATAAAAGTGTTGTTGTGCTAGACAACGCTCCTAACCACTGTTTACATGGAGGGGTCAGTTGGGAAACAAGCCACCATTCAAATACACAGTCAAAAAAGAAATGATTGACTGGCTGACAAAAAATAAGATCCCTTGCTCGATGGAGATGAAGAAATTCGAGTTGTGGTAATTGATTAATCAGCATAAGCCTCCTGAAAAAGATTTATTGTTTAGATGAAATACTAAAATCGCGTGTTCACAGCGTGATTCGATTGCCCCCTTACATGTGCGACCTCAATCCAATTGAGTTAGCCTGGGCTAAGATGAAAAGGAAAATCAAGGAGGAAAATACTACGTGTGATCTGTCACTGACAAAATTGGAGGAAGCTACAAAAAATGTTGTTTTTTCTATTAATAAATTAGATTTGGAGGTGTTTACTATTCACACCCTTAAAATATAACAAAATTATTTATTTATTTCCAACGGACATCTCCATTTTACAGCTATACAAATCAAAACATTACAACTCAGAATGGCTTAGTTGATAATAACAAATTTTGTGCTTATAGACTATAAATAAAATCAACAATATAATAATGATCTAATAACAAACAACAATAACAATGACAAAAATAGCGGAACAAAACAAAAACTGACAAAATAACAAAAGGTATACTAATAAATAAATAATTTAAAACAACAACAATATATAAATACAGTAGACTCTCGCTCATCTGGACTAATGTGGCGGACGTCCGGTCCGGATTACAAAAAATCCAGACTATCGAGAGTCGAGGCAAATACACAGTACTGTATATAGCCGTTTTTTCAATTTAGTTCCAGGTCCACAGTAATGATAGCACGGGAATATGCACATCCACCAGTAATAATCTTTACGGCCGAATTTTGTTCCAGGTCCACAGTAATAATAGCCCGGGCTTATGCAGTATGCACTTCCACCGGTAATAATTTTTACAGCCGAATTTTGTTCCAGGTCCACAGTAATGATAGCCCGGGCATATGCACTTCCACCGGTAATAATTGTTTCGGCCGAATTTTGTTCCAGGTCCACAGTAATGATAGCCCGTGCGTATGCACTTCCACCGGTCATAATTTTTTCGGCCAAATTTTGTTCCAGGTCCACAGTAATGATAGCCCGGGCATATGCACTTCCACCCGTAATAATTTTTACCGCCGTGTTATCCGATTTTTTTCATTATTAGAGGTAGTCTCGGTCCCGTTTTGCTCAGATAATTGGACTTCTACTGTACTGTGCCGCTAAAAAAAATCATGATTGCCGATCCGGACTACCGGGAGTCTGGACAAGGCCGATCCGGATGAGCGAGAGTCTACTGTAATATGAAACAATAACAACAAACCCACAAGCTAACAACCAATGACAACTGAGAAAGATAAATATAGACTAATATAAAAACTGACTAGAGAGCAATGACAAACCCATAGTTAAATGCAAAGACAACAGTGTATTTTTAACAGACAAGTATAGCAATTTTTATTGGATTAAAGATAGCATAATGGAGGACGCTATGGAACGTTTTGTTATTGAACTTGGAGGTGTGGATTCAGAAGATAGTGAATGTGAAGATTCGGACACCGATTCAATATCAGACTCTGACCTTGCAACTCCATAGTAACTTAAGGTAACTGATATAATTTACTTAAAGATTCCTTCCTTCATTACTATTGTTTATTATTGTAACTATTATGTGTAATTAAATAAATTATAGTTTTCTGTTGTTGATGATGACAGATACAATTAAGAATGTTTAATTTGTATTTTTTGTCTGATACGTCACGATAATATTACGAGATAATGGAAAATATCCATAAGTCATCACAAATATTTTGTAATTATATGGTAATTTAAAACTACATTTGCAATCACATTCAAGATGCCACCAACACTCCCTGTGGCCGACCAACAGGCGGCGTGTGTTGGTGTTAAGCATCCGCTGGGAGTAGAGGGGAGTGGGAGGGAGCACGCGTAAACAAGTCTGAAGTCTTGCGCTTACAGTACAACATCAATTTATTCTTGGCTTACCGTATATTAGGCTACTTAGTCATGACGAGCTACTCATATTATGTAATTCAACTGTAAATTGGTGAAATCCATTGGCAATAAAATAAAATAAAAAACAAATCCCAATTAAGGAGTCATTTTAAAACGATCATTAAGAGGCACAGTTATAAGACCTACCAAACATTTTCCTGACCATACTCTGAAAAGAAACTCAAAGGGAAAGATGTTAAACCTCTATGATTATTTAATTAATATTTAACCATAGGCTATGTTATTCTATTTAATTTCTTTCACCTAATATTGTCTTGTAATTTTGTCATTATTAAGGTTTAGACTCTTTGATTTGTTTCATATTTTACTTTGAAAGACAAAAAAAGCTGTTGGATGTTCTTATGAAATGTTAGCCCAGCCAAAATATAAATTCTGTTCAATAGTTAATACAATTGTAATATTATAAATATTTCAAAAATTCAAATTAGTTTCTTGACCTATGATGCAATT